TTCTTCCATAAACATCAAATTCCACAAGTTATTAAAAGCTCCACTCATTTTTCAAACATTTAAAATAGTTTTAAAGTATAAAAATGCAGATATTAAAAACAAAAAAAGAAACCAAAAATGTTGTTTTTCCCCAAGCCCCCAGCTTTCATCTGTTTTTATATAAATTCAATTAGATACAACTCCTGGGTTGTATCTTTTTAAACTATTGTTTCAATAAAAACAATTTTAATTGTCAACATAAATTTATATTTTGGAATGAATTAGAGATACTGTTAGGACAAAATTAAGATGCTCTCATCAACCGTCTTAGGTTTCCTTACACTGGTTTTTTAGATTTTTTTTTTTATTAATTTGAGAAATACTAATAAATAAAATAGAAATAAAGAATTAGATTGCAGTAAAGAACTCCAACTGTGTGTTAGTTTGAAGGTGCTGGACTTTCAACATGCTGTGGACCTACACACAGCTGTGGAATCAAAAAAATGGTTGTGGTATTTTTGGCCATGGTGGCCCCACCATAAATATTTATATGAGAAGTTATGGCATGCCAGAGCCTATGTGTACATGTTGTGTTCTTTCAAAAATTAAAATAAAGCGCAACAGCCTACAAGGAAGAGAGTAGTAGTTTAAAAACTGATATGCTTTTTCACTTGCAGATTTTAATCTTGGGGCAGATGGCCTCAGTGTCACAATTTCCATCTCGAAGTGAAAGTGGATGTGAAAGAGATGTCTTTTCAGTGTTATAAAAATATTAAATTATGTCTGCAAGAAGACCAGATATCCATGCAAAATATAAACCTCCTCATCAAAGTGGCATCTCAAAGTACAAAAAACAGAGAGAATTTCACTAGTGTAATTTCTCTGGTTATCAATGATAATTCATAAAGCAAATATTTCACCAATATTATATGATAATAACTGTAAGCTGTAATACCTGGTAACTGTAGCTTCAAGGCAAGATAAAATAACATTAGGTTGGACACCACAAAGTCTATTCATAGCATTATTTGAAAACAAAGACTATAATTAAAGGCAATGCACAAACACTAACTTGTTAAGAAAGACAGAAATTTAGATCCCTGTTTAACATGAAACATATAAACAATGATAAAAAAAAACTACACGTGCTAAGTTTATTTTTCAAAAAAAAAAAAAAATTCATACACTTGAAATACTAAAAGTCTTACATTTTAAATCAAGACAGTAAAGGTAACGTTTTCCACAGAATAATAGAGAAAAACCATATGGACAACATCGCCCTCAAGTGCTCGGTGACAGAAACAACATGTTTTCATTCATCGTCTTAGTACACTGGTAGTAGATTTCTGCGAAGGCAAGCAGCTCAAAAGTGTAAAATGTATTTCTGTGTTAAAGTTGTTTCTGTCTCTGTGATAATCACCTCCATCATTCATGAACCCTTCTGCAGGCATAAAAAAATATCCTGAAAAAGAATTAAAGGTGATACAAGCGTCATCCCTGGAGGTTGTGAATCATTTTGATGCAGCCGTTCTGTCAGAAAATAAATCAGTGCACAATGCCTAAACCTGAAAGAAAACTGATTCCATAATTAATAGCTGATGGCAGCTGAAACTTCCTTAAACAAATAATCAATTAGTTGGCCGATGCAAATGAACTGCGATGCATTAAAAGGGACCTGAGCCGAGCAGCAAACCCTCTGAAGCCAGAAGACCTCCCTAAGCCATAATCCTGTGTTAATCATCATCTACTTTATGCACACAGTACATGTTCTTTCTCCAGCCACAAATATGTCGATACAGAGATGATATAACAAGACAACGTGTGGCTCTCATTATTCCACTAATGAGCTGTCTCCATGGCAGTCTGATCTGTCAGCCAATGAAGCAAGCAGCCTTCATTTGGGAGGGGATGGATATGAGGGAGGGCTCTGGGGGGGAGCATGGGCCAGGGTCAGCCAGGCGGCGGCTAGGGATGAGGGGCCGGCGGGCAGCACTTAACGCAGGGAAGAGCTCGTTAAAGTGTCATTTTTGGCCAATATGCTCATTGGTGTCGAAGAGGCCAATCAGCCGTACTGCTCCCATCTGAGCAGAATGACTTTCATCCATCACTGTCTGCTCTCTGATGATATTAGCAGGTGTTTACTGATAGGCCATTCGGAGGAAGACAAATGGAGATCCTAACGTCCTTTTACACTCGTACTCGAGCAGTCATTTTATATAGACGCTTATTCCTTATGGGGTGAGAACTGGGGGCTTCAGGAGAGCCATTGCCTTTGTGGATTAATAAAGGAAGCGGTTAAACATCATTTTAAGCACTGATCAAAAATGGGCCACATTTGAACAGTTGGAAAGCCAAAACCAGGTTGGACGTGAGATTTAGCAGTAAATCTTAAACACCTGAGCACAGGTTCGGAATGGAGTTACAGTCTGAAGGTGTTTTCATGATGAAAACACAGAAATCACCACCAAACTGATAGTGTTAGAAGAAACCTGTGTTTTTGCTACAGGGTTTTAGTACATTAGTATTTTTATCCTCTTTTAGAGATCTTTTTTTCAAAGTGATATAAATAATAGAAAAATATATAAAGCAGTTTAACTTCATCACTTACTCAAATTCAAAACTTACAAAGTAACTTAAAGTTAAACATTGGGTGCTTTTGATGCTGACATGTGAAGTCAATGGCTTTTTTGTTGTTAAAGCCTTTTAGACAACATGAAGAAATAAACTGATTATGAGTCAGCTGTCTAATCATAAAGGTGATTAAGTTTTCTCAGCAATTGATATTTAGAAAAAATGAGGATTAAATACAATCTGATTTGCTTCTTCTAAAAAAAGCACAATATTGTGAGAGGAAATTATTCTAAAAATGATTAGTTTTAAAACCTGAAAATACATACAAATGTAAGTATCTTTAAATGGACTGTCATAGAAAAACAGTGTCTTCAGTTGGAGGCTTCTTTAAATTCGCTGTAACACAGACTGCTACAGGAGATCCATCCCCATTTACAACTCTTTGAAAAACTTTGAATTTAAGTAAGCTACTGCAACTTTTATAGCACAATCAAGTAACTGTGTTACCTTCAGTTGCTATAAATGCACTGCATACACACCAAATATGACTTAAAAGAGTCATATTTATCTCATAGGACTTGAAATTGGTCTATGTGAATAGGCCAATTGACAACTGGCCTTTAAGAAGCACATGCTCTTTCACACACTCCACCTCCAGCAAGTCATCACAACACAGCCTGTTACCTTTCTGTCTAAAACACTGAATAAAAGCCACTAGAGGAAGAAAATTTTAAAAATAAAATAAAAACCAAGATAAAGTTTTCGTGGAAATGCACATCAGCTGGGTGTGTTTGACAATTACTCTGCTGTCGCTAGTCTGGAGGAGCTGAGTGGGGGAGTCACTCAGCTCCCCCACTCAGCTGCATGGCTGCCATGGGACATCTTTCAAACATGAAAGAATCAATCAAAGCAGCACTCCAGGTATGGTTTTGATGAGGTAATGAAATCATTACATGATGTAAAACAAACAAACAAAAAAGTAAAATTCACCCCTCCTTAAAAGGGCATCCATATACAATCAGTTTTTTCAAGGGGAAACTTGAAATTGGATAAAAGCAGACAAATCTAAAAGACTGGGTGATTTCTGTCAGACACTGAAGGAAACTATCCCAGTAGTCGCAGTGTGTATCTGTGTGTGTGTAATCGAACCAGCCGGACGGAGCTGACCGAGTCTCTCTCTGCTGGACCCGGCTGTAATTTCACCGCTCACCGTCTGGGACCAGCCAGCCACACTCGGGCCGCTGTTCCCGCCTCATGTTTTGGATGTAAACTCAGAGCTTTGCCAGCTCCTGCTCTCCTGATACCCAAGACTCCAAAACTGGAAAAGCAAACACAGAGTCTGGTTCTGTGTTTGCCATGTAAAACTGAAAAAAAAAAAAAAAAGTCCTCCATTTTCTCTCTTTCTCGTCTAAGTTTGAGCTTCACGGGAGATTTTTTTTAGCAGATTAATGCTGGTAGCAGAATGTTTTCTAGGAATAAAGAAAAAAAAAACGCTTACGGTTTCTGCTCCACATTAAACATTCAGCTTTACCGCTGCAGGAACTGTTTTCTCCTGAAGATGAAGCCAAAGAAGCTCATCCTATCAAACTCTCTTCTGCAACACTTGCTTTATTCCTAGTGGGAGCAACAGTTTCACAGCTTTGACCAGCCTTCACCCACCAAAAAAAGTTTTGTTTGGTAACTATATTTGTCATTCTGACTGTGTCCCAGCCTCTTTCCTTGTTTGGTCCTTTTAATTTTCGATGTAACTTTCCTCACGTCTCCTCACGGCGAGGATGAATATTTCATGAAGAGCCCGAGGCTTTCCCTGGCCCGGAGGAGAACCTAGCTGTACCCACGAAGCCGAACCAGAAAAGGATGTGGACGAACAACAGAGAGACAGACAGGAGGCTTGTTTTTAAGACGCTTCACTCCACCTTCCTTATCTAACCTTTCTTCAGTCATCTGCCTCCGTTTCTCCATCACGCTCACTTGCACCTTCCACCTTTTAGGATGCAGGAATTCTGACATTCACTTTCTACAAACCTTAGAAGTTTTCCCATCATCAGGATTCAATCAAACTTTTCCTTTTCTTTTTGCAAGATGGGACTGATTATCAATTACTGCTTTCTTTGCATCATAATATTTCCTAATCTCTCCTCACTTTGGTTAAACTACCGGTCATGTGAACAGCGGATTGAAGGGGCTGATAAGAAAAGGTTGATAAAACAAGAGGAGGAACTTGATTGCTGAAATTCTCTCTCAGAGGGAAAAAATAGGGAAGCATTTTACTTTCAACTGGAACCCAGCAGTTTGAGTCATATCTAAAGAAACGGTGCTACTAAACCAGCTCCCATTTTCAATGTTTTGGAAAAATAAGAAATTATGCACAGTGTAAATTTCTGGCCTAAAGCAGATTTTCATTCTCTTGTTCTTCATTTCCGTTTTTGAATTTTCATCGTGAAGCACTTTTTTTTTAACTTTAAAAAGTGTTTTAGAAGTAAACTTTGCTTTCTTACTTTTCTTGAAAACAGTTGATCTCAGTTTCGGAGTTGTTAAAAGGAAGTACAATATAGCAAAGTACTGAAACTGTCCCAACATTTATAAAATATGTTGCAGACACTGAATGGAAAATGAGAAGAGATGCAGCAGTCAAGTGGCCAAAGATTATTGCCATTGAGATTTTGACTTTTGCAGATTTTTGGCTAAAATACTGAAAAATCACTTTTTTCTCATCTAAATAATTGCATAAAAACTAATAAATTGAACACAGCAGACATCAGCTTAAACTTTGATGCACTTATTTTTCTTCAATACATCTTTAAAAGTTTGATAAAAAGACATGGTCTGACACATACACGAGAAAATCTGCCAATTGGTTCATTTTCTGGTGGATTAAAAACTACCGGTAGTTCCTGTATCAAAGAACCTCTGCACAATTTTTTCTCTTTTAGTCATAAAGTAAGAAAAAAAACTGATATTGGTTGAATATCAGAATAGACACTTTGGACTTCAAGGAAAACTAGAAATTGGAAAAATCCTGGTAGGTGCATCTCTAAAAATTACCACATGGGCAGCGTATCTTTCTCCATTCACTGTTACCGTTCTGCCTAAAACATTGAATAAAGGCCACTAGTGGAAGGAAATCTCAATAATAAAATTTAAAAAACCAGGATAAAGTTTTAAAATGATCTCCATTCTTATATTTATTATGTTTTCTTCGTACCTTTTCAAGTTAAATACAAGCTGAGTAACCTGTAAATAATTACATTCTGCGTTTCTTTTACAGGAGACAGACTTTTCTTCCCCGTCCCCTCTTCGTACACTCTGTCCTTCAGGTGTAGCTGGCGTGAGACGGACAGCTGCCAGCGGTGGCCTGGTTTCACACCTTAGCTGCGCCTCCTCCGCCCCCCCATTGCCCTCCACAGACAGCAGCCTGGGAAACCACAGGCCACCAGGCTGGCGCCAGTCTGTACGGCTTAGAGCAGGGCAACCGGCCCAATCAATACCTCTGCATTTCCTGTCCATTTGCTCAGGTCTCTTCATTAATAATTACTGCTTGGCGGAGCTTCAATGCGCTCGCTGGCTGGCCCATAGGGGAGAGGTTTGGGTGACCTTTCCCCGCCCCTGGGTTGCCTCAAATCTCTCTGTTGCTCACACGCACACACACATACATACAGACAGATAAACAGGCATTGAGACTGACATAACAAGGCAACGTTGATGACATTACAACTCCTGATTCACCCGAGTCGAGCCTCTGCAGTAAAGCAGTTCTTTGCTGCGTAATTGGTAAAACAGGACCTTTTTCCGTAGTGAAACTCCTCAGTTTGGCAAAGAGTAAAATTTCAAGCAGCTGTACTTTAGAGCATCAACTTTGCCCTAAAAAAAATTTTAAAAAAAAAAAAAAAAAAAAAAAAAAGAAAACAGGACATTTTTTGAGAGTAAGTACTCCTTAATGCCTCACTTGCTGTTCATGGCACATTTTCCAGATGACACTAACAATTCATCAAAACATCTTAAATGATGTTCTGCCCAGTATGTGGCTGTGCTGATAAGCCAGGTAACAATAAAGAGACAGTTTTTTTTTCTTTCTTTAAAAAGCAGTCTGCCGGTAAATTTTCTCAGGGCAGGAGAGGGGGAGTATCGGAGCTGCAAAAACATCTGGCACGAAGCCGGAGTGATGAGTTTTTATTCGATGATGAACAGTTATAGGAGTTTCAGAAGAAAAAAAAACACGAAGACGACGTCATGGCCAACCCAAGACTCTCTCAGGCCTCCACAGAGGAGTGTGTCTCTGTGTGTGTGTATATATCTGTGTGTAGGTGTGTGTGCGCGCGAGCTTGGGTCAGAATTTGTTGACGGCCGAGGCGATGTTCTCCAGGGCGGATCGAGCCTCAGAGGAGGGGAAAGCCTGGATGGCCTCCAGAGCCCTGTTGCTATGGTAACGGCACAAGTCCACCGCCAAGCTCACGCCTTTCTCCGACTTCACCGCTGCCAGGAGCTGCGGAAGGAGGGAAAACAGGCATTAGTTTGTCACGTCTGTGTCAGCGCTGCCACTGTGCGGCTGTCAATGACTGTACGGGAAAAGTTAGTTTGCTCTTAAAGTCGGAGCGAGGCCGTTAGTTTCCTCTGCGCAGACACGAAGGCACCGTCAGCTGAGATGCAGGGTTCCCTCGTTTTTCTGCGAGCTTCAAGTTGGACTTTTATGTTGTTTGGAAAATTGAGCCTCTTGGCTTTCATATCATCTGACTAATGATGCTTCATTTCACTATTGTATAAAATATAAAGTAATGAACCAAACTCTTGCCAAGTGTGACTACAGATCTCTTCTGTTGTGAAAGTGATCATTTTATTTAGTATTCAGGGAAAACAGCTAATCGAACTGACCTGGTCCAACCTGAAAAAGAAATTTACCCTTAAACGTAATAACTGAATGGGCATTTTAAATACCCCTTACTCTCTGTGGAGGAATTTATCCCCCTCTGCTTTGTAAATTGTTTTCTTTCAGCCACGTTAGAGAGATTTTCAAGCACAAATGACCCAGACTTTGACTACACCACTTCAAAACTCTCATTTGTCTTTTGAGCCATACAGGGACTGACTTGCGGTGTGCTTTGGATCACTGTGTTGGAGTGCTGTTGAGCTTAAGGTCACAATCTGATTGTTGGAGATTCTCCTCCAGGATGCTCTAGGAAACGAATCTATAAATTAAATTACTGCAAGTCATTCAGATCCTGAAGAAGCAAAGCAGCCCCACATCACCACACCACCTCCACCATGTTTGTAAGTATAATGCTCTTTTTCTGAAATGCTGCCTTAGCTTTACAATATGTGTAACAGGATCCGCACCTTAAGTTCCACTTACATCTAATCTTACTTAATCGAATGTTGGATATTTTAGACAGCTTTTATCTTTTTTTTTTTTTTTTTCAGTCAGTCCTGGTTTTCACACTGGAACTTTTCCTTGGATGTCGTTTCTCTTTCATGTTGTTGAATCATGAATGCTAACCTTAAATTAGCTGCTGTTCTGGGGTTTTTTTATTGACCTGTTGAGATAATCATTGCTGCCCTCTTGGAATAATTTTGGTCGACCCTCCATTGCTGGGAAAGTTCACCAATGTTCCATGTTTTTATACATACTCTCACTGGGGCCACGTTGCTTTGGATAAGAATTAGAATTTGAAAACTGTAGTTTGTATTTATCTTTGTTCAACATTAAGATTTGTTTGGGGATTTGATACTTTAAAATGTGACAAAAAAATATCCAAAAGAAATCTGTAATAAATACTTTTTTTTTTACTTCAAAATAACGCTGCTTAGTTTGCACATCACATTTCCTCATTCCAACATGTTTAAGTGGAAGACATCGAGTTCAATAAGCATTAACAGCAGCTTTGAGTCTGTAGTTTTTTGTTTTTTTTTTCTAGCTGTGCGTTCCTGCTGCTGCACTGGGACATCTTTTTGCTGAGGGCGTTTTGCCTCATGAATTCTGGAAGTGGAAAGCCCCCGTAGGCCTTCCCTTAAGAAAGAAGAAGTTAAATAAAAAAATAACTGTAGGAGCTAAACTCAAAAACATCCTGCCTGCTTATTTATTTAAAAAAAAAAAAGATTAGCTTTCTACATGCATTTCGTACCATCCTGCCAGCTACCTTTGTTTCTTTCTGCATCAGTTCCCTGATGCTTTTATTCCCTGAACTCTGCTGTTTGGATTAAAGGTCCAGCTCTTGTCAGAAACTAGAAAAAAGGAAGACGAAGTCTTTTCAGCATCAAAACCCTCCAGCCTGTCTTGATGATTTTGATATTCAGCAGAGGCACCTGGGAATATCGTAGCGTATATCGCGCTGCGCAGCAAACTGCAGCAGGTGATCTGCCCACATCCAGTCCAGTCATATAATCTGGATAATTGACGTAAATAAACACCTAAAAACACAGCAAAGTAAATATTGCTTTTCTAAACTTTTTAAGTTGAGAAAATCCTCTAAGTGTGTGCAACTAGTTTCAACTTTCAGCCAATCAGAGATCTCTACCTTCACAGCAGTGTGCTCCTGTATTTTTTCCAGCAACAACTGCTGGACAGAATCCCTTCCCTTTAAAAAACAAATAGAATGGAAACGAATGGAATCGAATGTAAAACATTAGGCCCGTAATTACAGAAATAACACAGCTTGTAACTAAAAAAAAAAAAAAAAAAGAACATGGTGGTGGCAGTACCACTGCAGCATGTGTGAAAAACACAAAAGAATGGCTTCATGAGAGAAAACCAATTCTGAAAGAAAGTCTGTGGGGGTAATCTGAAGATGGTTATGGAGAAGAGGCATCCTCTCTTTGTGTGTTATGATGGAGTTAGACGATGTTTGCAAAGAAAAGCGGATAAATACGACCAAAGGTCACAACCAAAAGAAACTTCAATGCTGAAATTAAGATGGTTTAAATGATTTGTGTCATATATTTACATTTTCCCTTAAAATATATGCTAATGCATGTTATGTTCAAATTAAAAGACTAAAAAAAAACCTAGAAATAATTTATCCTTGTCTAATTTTCTTCTGCAAAACAATAACCTGGTATTATAACGGGCTGCGTACACTTTGTTTTTATCCAGTATATTTTTTTCTCTTTCATGCCTGGATTTACAGCAGACAAAACTCAAAGGACAACTGAATAATTTTAGGAGTAACTTGAATTCTAAAAACCACAGTTTTTGAGATGCATATTTTTTTCATTTCTGGGCCAAACGTATCAGGGGGAGAAAAAAAGAAAAAGAAAAAAGACAGAGAGAGGCCCAGCATTTCCCGTTGTCCCAATCGGGGTTACTCAAGGTCTGTTACAGTTTTTCTTTGGCTGCATTTTTACTCCTCTGCTGTTCATTAAAAGAAAATATCTGCTTTTGTTTGCTTTGTATAAGTAAGGAAAACCAGCCTTTCAGAGTATCTTCCTTCAACCATTACCACAAGAATAATGAGAAATGTGGTGAATCTACATAGTTTTCTTCAGAAGGTGTCTTTGACTTCTTAACACACACAAACAAAGGCAAAGTGTGGTTCAATTTAAGAAAATCAGTTTCATTTCTACAACAGAAATCATGCAGATATTTCTAGGTAAATCCACAACATTAATGTTTTCTCCTCCCCAGCTTCCCTCCTTGGTTCCCCTTAAAAACTTCTCTCCTCTTTTCGGCTGAAGGAGATTCTCTCACAATACCTCTGTCTCAGAGCCTCGGTGTCTCCTCCACAAATAGGCCTCGGTAACCAATCCGTCCAGCTCTGGTTTCAGACGGGACCAGATAACCCCCCCCCCCCCGACCCCTCCCAACGCGCCCCAGACCCCTCCCCTCTGTTGCTTTGGTCCCATTCTGGCCTCACACGTTGACTTTGGAAAGGCGATTTCCTAACTTCGACGTGAGTTGCAGTGAAAAGACATCCAGATTGTTTCTGGAAATGCTCAAAGAGGTGAAAAGGGTGAAAGTGAAAAACAAGGCGTGATAGTTAGTTGAAAATTTCACCTTACCTTACTATAATCCAACTGGTTTCTCAAGGTCTTTGCCTTGGAGACAAAACAGAAGAGTTCATTTTATTAAATTTTTTTGGTCATTTTAAACTAAATTGCAAATTTCATTAAAAAGAAAAATAAAAAAAGCCTGGAAGGCAATACGTTTTCTTTCTTCAGTGATGTATGCAGGTGTTATTTCCTCTTTTTACCCCCTTTTTTCACTTCTGTTGGGACTGAACATCGCTACTAGATTGTGACGCAATCTCTTTAAAAACAGAGAGCAGACTGCTCATAAGTGTTAACACTGCCACTTCAACAGTGCTTTTTTCTATGTAAATAAGAGATTCAGACAAAAATAGACTAGGGGTTTAAAACAGGGGCAAGAAATCAAATGATTCCTTCATTCAGTGCAGATTTAGTGGAGATTTTTTTTGTCCTTTTTAAGCTGCTGGCTACATGGGAGATCTGCAAATTCTTATTTTGAGGTCATAAAATGTGATTTTTTAATTTTTAAAAATCTTTGATGTTTAGTAGATATTTTCTCATGTATTAATAAATACAGTAGTAAGATCTCTTCTCTCTATGACTACAGCTGATTATGGAGGTGATATGTTGCTTTATGCTGTTATGTTTTTCATTTAAATGTGTCTTTCTAAACTTCTATTCTTTAGGACTCTTCTTTGTTTGTGATTCAGATTTAATCTGGGAATTCCTAAAAGTTTTTCCTACTAAATATCACACTTTCATTCTCCTTTGGAATGGCAGCAGATATTTCTGCAACTGTTAGGTTAAAATGTAGAATATGCAAAAGGATAATGGTTGAACAAATGAATGGATAAATGAAACTTTTGCAAAGGTAGCCAAGTCTAAACATACAAATATTTTCCATTATTTTTCCTACTTATCTCATCTACACCTTGAAAATATGTCAAATCTCGCAATTTTTTCCAGAAATTTTTTCCACCAGCTTTTAAATCCCTTCAATGAAGCTTTTCATTTCTTTCCTAAGTGAATTTTGAAGCATTGTCACTGTCTTTCTGTTACCACATCCAGTAAAACCTTCAATGTACAACCAGAATTACAGTTCGAACAGCTTTTAAATTATTCTGTTGACAAAAAGATGAGGAAATCAAAAGATTAGTACATTTTTAGCTAAATGTAGAATATGTTAGTGCAATTATACTTTGGTGGAGGCATTCTTGAGACTTCTTTTATGTATATTTTTTAAAACACTTACAATACAGCAGTAATAAAAAGTAAAGTATAAAAGTGATGGTGCTTAAGTTTCAAGCCTTTTGATTTAGTGACAAAAATTGATTTCCTAATTTAATTCTAATTAAAAGTTTAAAATTTCCACGACAGAATCTGACTCTTTGGTGCAAAAACCAGCAGCTTCTCTTCACTGCATTTAAACTCAATGGGATTAGGAAGCATTAGAGCAGCTGGATTTAACGCTTTGCTTCATCTCTGTGAAATAAACAAACTGAGATCACAGCTGACTTGTGCAACCTAATTGCGTCGTGATTTTTAACTTAACTTTTTTTTTACAGGAGATGGTAAGAGTCACCAGAACCGCTGACAGTGTGACTGACATGTTTTACCTCCTGGAGCTGCTGGTGCCACTTCTCCTTCCCGACGATCTGACGGTGGAAAACCACCGGGGCGGCGCTCAGGCTGAATGATGTCATCGCTCCCAACCTGCTCTTCACAAACGGCTGCAGGTCAGAGTTCAGCTGCACAAAGGTGGAACACATAAACAGTCACTGATGCTGCTCCGCAACATTCAGGATACCAATTACACCGTCACACTGGAGGGGGAAATAAGAAGAAGAAGAAAAAAAAAAAAAAGTGGTTGAAGTGACATTTGGCTAGCTTACACTGGGAGAGGTCCTGCTAATGAGCAGTGGGGTGGACAGTTTGGTGAGGGACAACAGTCCTGATGAGGACAGTTCTTCCTTTTAAGAGCTCATTTCAGCGTTCACCATGCTGTGACTCCAGCGTGCTGCAGAGGCCCCGCAGATTAGCAGCTGCAGGGAGCCTCGGCAAGAAACGGCAAACCACTGCAGCACTGTGCATAAGGTCGTCCAAAAACTACTCAAAAAGAACAAAGTTTGTGCTGACATAACATTCAGGTTCAGTACAAAACAACCGTCTGGAGCATCCTTCCTAATTTCTGTATTTCATCTTTTTGCCTGCGTCCTCTTTCTGCAATGTTTCTTGCCAATTCAATTCCAGTTTGAAGCATTTGATTAACACAGATACAGTGAAACTAGAGGAGGGCCAATTACTCATGCTTTCAGACATTTCTGCTCCATGTGGATCGGAAGCTCATTTAGTCTTTTGCTTTGATATAACTTCATCACAGTCACAAAAAAGTACATCTGTCACAGGAGGGATAAAGCTTGCTAATAAAAAAAAGGAGAGTGTTAACGAAAGTGAAACAAAATTAAAATGTATTCAGTTTTCCGCACCAAATTTGTTACATTTCACAGCAAACATATTTATACCCATTGAGCTCTCCCCCATTTTGTCATGTTACAAGTACAAACCTCAGCAAATTTTATAAGGAAAGACCCCAAACATACAGCCAGAGCTACAATAGAATCAAAGCCTGGTTATGTGTTTGGACGGTCCAGTTAAAGCCCACATCTAAATTAGAGACGCACAGATCCGATATCTGTATCGATGCTCGAATTGAAAAAAATTCCAGATAGGGAATCAGTGACGATGTGCCATAAGTTCAAATCTATTCAGTCTAATTATATTCTTTGTTCTCTGAGCGACATCAGGATTTGTTGTTTATTTTACATTACATCTAGAGTTCCTAATTGAGCTTTCTGAACTATTTGAAAGGATTTCTGCAGTTTATTTTTGTCAATTTCAGTTTATCTGTTATTTATCTACATTGGCTGTTATTTTTTGAATTGCAGTGACTGAATAAATTAAAGTTGTGCTATTTTTACATCTTTGGTGCAGGACTGTCGCATACATTTTTTATTCCGTTCTTTTATGTTTGTTCCTGGAAAAAAAAGAAGAAATGTTTTAAGTCAACTCAGCATTTTTTTGTATCGGATCAGAATCGGCCAATACTAAATCTCAGTGAAAAAAGCGGATCAATGCGTCACTTAATCTAAATTGAGACTTTGAAAATTGTTGTCCATAGCCAATCTGACTGATCTGGAGGAAATTAGCAAAGAAGAATAGTAAAATGTTCACTCTAGTAGAGACATAGCATATTACAAGTTTACAGATGTAGGTAATGGTGGATTTGCAGACCATTAAATCAGTGGAAGAAAAACAAATCCATATAAAACTTTTCAGGTTCCTTCCACCAAACACTTATCCAGAATTGTGTGTTGGTATGTCATAAAATTTTTCTATAAGCTACACTGAAGTTGGTGGTTGGTATGTGACAAAATGTGAAAAAGTTCAATATTTTCTCAAAGCACAATACCTAAATGTGTACTTTTTATTAGATTTCTTTTTATTTTGTTAAATAACCTCTTTCCAAGTCTTCAATCATATCAGATTTCTTAATATTTTCCTTCCAAGTTGCCAGGAATTATTTATTAAGGAGGAAAAAAAATCACATAAACCAACACAAATTCAAAAGATTCAATAAAACATTCTGTTTGGTTACTGTTTTCGTTCCCTAACACTTGCCTTGTGACCCAGCGACAGGTGTTTCCCGTAGAGGTAGGCCAGTCTTTGGGCCTCTCTGTCGTGCTTCGCGAGCTTCATGGCGGCCTGGCAGCTCTTGGCCAGCAGCGCTCCGTGGGACAGAAACGCCTGGTCCTCCCAGGGCGTCGTGTCCACGCCGTCGCCGAGACCGTCGCCGAGACCGTCCTGCGGGGCAAAAAGTGGCAGACGCTTCAAAGTTCCCACAGACGAACACACAGTTCCTCAAATCCAAACAAGACATTTCACTCAGGCTTTTCACACAAATCCTAAAGCCAAAAGATGAACACCGCAGAGGAGAAAACAAATCCTCTAGAAGTCATGTTTACAGAAAAAACTGATGTTATAATTTCTACCCTTTTCACTAAATTTAACAAAAGAAAAAAAACATGTAGGCCGAGGCAGAGGAAGGTAGTTGTGAATGCAGAGCATTACCTAAAAACAGAGTAATTATGGGGAAATCTATTTCACTGCAGTCTGACAGCACTGAGGTCAATTTGAATTAAGAAAGTCCGTCTTGATTCATTATTTATCGGGATGTCCTTTTATTTACAGGCAGCTGGTAGCTCATAATGTCAGAACCAACCAAGGGGAAAGACTCACTTTTTATTCAAGTCACTGATCTAGTCTGAGATTTATGACCTTAAAGCACCTAAAACGTGAAAACACCTTTATTTATTTATTTTTTTTTTTTGAAATTTAGAATTTTTTTTTCTAAAAATAGCTGAAAAATGTGAGACAAAATCAGCAATTAGACCAGCTGTTTAATGTCATGTTCTCAATAATGACGGATTTACCTCAACATTGTAGTAATTCTCGTAATATATCCCTTGGACTAAATCCGCGATGGCACTGGAGATCAGTTCAACAACCTGCCAAACAGAAAAAAAACAAAACATAACTAAATTCTTCAAACACTGTAAAAATGTTAGAAAAGCTTACATACATAAATTGAGTTGATCCCGGTTGGAAAATGTTCATAGAAAGTGTTTCATGAAGTCTAGGATGGACAGCTAAAAGGTAAATCGCAGCTTGATTCGCCTCCTTTCTAAAACTGAAGCCGAGGAGATGAATAAAGACATCAAAAAGGAAAATAAAAAGCTAATAGCGCTAAAGAAGATGACTTACAAACGTGTCCTAAGGCACACTTGATGTCAACCAACATTAGAGACAGAGGAGAAATATCAATTAGTAGCATCTTTTCAGGATTTATTTTAAGCTTCAGATCAAACTCCTACAAAGTATTGCACGTCTAATTAATTTAGCTCGAACCTCATGGTCCGTTAGAGGGATTTCACTAAGAAGCAGTGTCTGCATGTGATTGTCTTAGATTACAGTTTGAATCAAAGATCTCAACTTTGATTCAACATTCACACACAGAGGAATCTGAACTACTGAGTATCTCCCTCATTATAAATCACTAACAGAACAGATTAAACTAAAACGGAGACATAAATGAGGTCGATCAACACCGATCCGCTAATCATGCCATCCATAACATTCGCAATTAAAGCCACAATTTCTCCTGTGATTGAATCGGGAGCGCCTGAACAGCTGGTTTGGAGGATTAATCTAAGGTGAGGTGTGCTGGGCGCCAGGTGAAGCGCCGCTCAGCTGCTCATTACCAGACCACAGGGTGGAGAGGTGGGGTTTCTTCTGGAGATGTCACAAAGCACTCCCATGTCTGCTTCCATTCATCATTATATTTTGAGTTTACAAAACGTACATCTGCGAGAGCCAGATCAACTTTCTGTCCAATTCAAGGCAGAGAAGCGATAAGAGCTTCCAGAGAAGCTTCTCTCTTCTTCTTTCCCTCCTTTTCTTTTTCCACAGCAAATACAGACAAGATAAAACCTAAAAGTAATGTCTTGTGCAAGTAATGTATGTGCAAGGCAGAAAGCATAAACTGTCAATTCGAGTTCATTTACTTTTACAATAAGGTTCCTAAAAAGCTAGAATGCCAAACTGAAGCCAGAAAGGACAATAAAAAACTAAATCAGTGTTCAGGACTCTGTTAAAAAAGTCAGTGACATTCATAATGTCAAGATAACCTACTGTCTAAAAGTGATTTAGTTCACAGCTTGAGGCACTTAAATACCAAAGGACTCCAGGCCTCCACTACCGACCATCGTCGCCACAGCAACGATTCAAAACTAAAGCTTTTTCAGCTTCAGGGTCAGTGGTATGTATGTCTGGAGTAGGAAGAATGAAACATGCAGGGAAAAGATCAATAAAAAAGCATGGTGGTGGCACAGTGATGCTCTGGGACTGCTTTGCTCTCCAAAACCAGCAGAATGTAGAGAGCAAGATGGATTCAGTCAGGAATCAGGAGGTCCAAGGCAGAAATGTGACGCTGACTGGACGATCCCATTGACATCCTGGAAGATACTAGAGGGGCCACCACTGTTTCCCGACTTGAACGCAGCTGAAACTCAGAGGTCACAGCGCCAAAAAACCAAGAATATAAAAGAGCTGGAGGTGTTCAGCCATGAGAAGCGGGGTAAGGTTCCTCAGGAACACTGCCAGGAGCTGATGTCTGCATCTGAATCATGGTGAGGTCAGAACAGCAAACTGCTGCTCATCATGAAGGGGTTGAATACTTCTTAGAGTGCAGTAGTCAATCGGAAACAGCTGCTAACTTGAACTTTTGGCCAATAAACCTCATTTGCAAGTGGGGTTGTATATTTTCCAAATTTAAACAGCATTCTCTATCAAATGTAGAACTTTAAACTCCAAGATTTCCAAAAACTTGGCAATATTACCAAATCTATTTTGCTCCAGACACCAACAAAAGATGAAAACAATAAAACACACCTCACTCACACTGAGAATGGCTAGCTTAGTCCTCACTCAGAAACAACGTGCAGCGTTAGGAGTGTTGTTGGTGTGGCCTGGTAAAGGTTTGTGTCTTCACTGATAAGAAAAGAAGATCACGTCCAGCCAATCAGCAGCTGTGGCTGATGAAGCTACAAACTGGCCAACTCCAAGCAGTCAATTTAAAAAAAGAGAAACATGAAAAACATTTTCAACCTCTGGATCCACTGAGAAATCATAAAACTCTCAGTGTAGAAAAGACAGGAGCTCCATCGGTTCATCCCAGACATCCTTGAGTTCATCAGAGAGCTCCAGAGATGTGGCTGCTCAGTCAGGCTTGCTGTGCCCTTTGGGTAACCGTATCCACCGGGGGAAAATATTGAGGGAACCCGAGCTTCCTACCCAGACTTGGAAGGACAATGTGCCTACAGTATTACCAGATGTGGTGTCTCTGCTTGGCGTGCCTGGGGAAGGGGGGCGGACAGAGACCTGTTTTTTTTTTTTTTTTTTTTTTTTTTGTTAAATGATAAACTATTATTTTCCTTCTACCTCT